GTGGCTCTGTCCACTGACAGCCCTTCTCCTGCCATCCCCAGTTTTCCCATGTCTGTTTTCCCAGCACGATGCGAACCAGGGCCCTACATTTGGCAATTTCTCTCCCATCCCAGCCTAGACACACGCCATGTTCAGTTCCGTTTTGAAATGAGCAAATGAAGGGCTCTAGCCAGGAGTCACCTGGTCTTTCTGGCCAGGTAAGTGTCTTGCACGGTTCCACGTGGGGTGGATATTGACGAGACGGTTGTGCAGAGCCTCACTCAGCATGCTGGTGGCAGTTACCCTGGCGTGGGCCCAGCAGCAGGTGGGAGGTACTCCAGGAGGCCAGCTCCTTCACAGGGAGCAAACTGTGTCAAAACGTGTTCACAAAGAAGGTGTTACAGTGCTTCTTAGTGTCAAGCACTGCAATTATCTCTTGAGTCACAGAGTCGCTGGTAGCAATTTCCTCAGCCAAGATTCATTGTTGCTGACAAAACAAGGAGGATTCCATCCCATTAAACATTCATGAAGCCTGATCAGTCTGTGCTCTTTTGTGAATAGAACTGGGTTTTAAATGACGCAGGGAGTGCTGTGAAGTCCTTCCCAACTGGGGGCCCAGGAGTGGGGGTGGCGGGCCTCGGTTGGGGGTGCCCGTGGTGAGGACAGTGTGGGGGCTTTGTTTCCCATATGCTCACCCATATAACTACCCTGCTCAAATTACCCCAGTTCTGAACTTACCCATATTCTGCCCACTTCTAGCTGTATGACTGCAGACAAGTTCCTTAACCTTTCTGTGCCTCAGTTTCTTCATTTGTAAAATGAGGATAAGGATAGTAGCTGCCTCATAGGGTTAAAAGAATGTGGATAAAAGGAATTAATTTAGGCAAAGAGCTTATACTGGTACTGTCAGTTCTGCTCTAACATGGCACGTGTGCTCCTAAACATCGCCACACTCATACACAAAAATAAGGGAAAATAGCACTGGATTGCAGCACTCAAAAACTTCATGAGGGACGCATTAAAAAAAGATGGGAACCTAGTAAAAACAATAGAACTGTTGAGTGGTTAAGAAATGCGTCAGTACTACATTAAAAACGGCACTGACTTGAGGAAGGGCCTGAAGCTTGCTCCTGAAGTGGGCGTGGGAGGGGTGTGGCTTGTGAATTGTGAAAGGGTGGAAGGAAGGTAACCCGATAGAAATCAGACAGAAAGCTGTGTATTCATTTGCTAAGGCTGCTGGAACAAGTACCATACTGCCTCCTTCTCTGCAGGGGATACGTTCCAAGAGCCCCCAGGGATGCCTGAAACTGCAGATAGTGCAGAACCCTATATATACTATGCTTTTTCCTGTATACGTATGTATGATAAAGTTTAATTTATAAATTAGGCACAGTGAGAGATTAACAGCAATGACTAATGAAATCAAACAATGATAACAAGACACTGTACTAGAAGTCAGGTGAATGTGCTCACCCTCTCTCTCAGAACATCTTCTTGTACCATACTCACCTATTTACAGACCCCGGATGACTGCTAGCAACTAAAATCATAGAAATAGAAACTGCAGGTGGGAGGAACTACCGTACCCCAGTTTGGGTGGCTTAAACAACAGAAATGTATTTTCCCATAGCGCTGGAGGCTGGAAGTCCAAAATCAAGGTGACAGCAGGAGGCTTCCTCTGGAGTGCTCTCCTTGGCTTGCAGATGGCCTTCCCCTGCCCCTCCTCTCATGGTCATCCCTCTCTGTGCACGCACCCCTGGTGTTTCCTTGCGTGTTCAGTTGTCCTCTTCTTATAAGAACACTGTCAGGTTGAATTAGAGCAACTGTGAAAGGCCTCGTTTTAACTGAATCACTTCTTTAAAGATTCTATCTCCAGGCCAGGTGGGGTGGCTCCAGCCCAGCACTTTGGGAGGCCAAGGTGGGAAGATCACTTGAGCCCAGGAGCTCAAAACCAGCCTAGTCAACATAGCGAGACCCTGTCTCTACAAAAGAAAATATTTTAAATTAGCCAGGCATAGTGGCACACACCTGGCTACTGGGGAGGCTGAGTCCAGAGGATCACTTGAGCCCTGGGAAGTTGAGGCTGCAGTGAGCCGTAATCGCACCACTGCACTCCAGCCTGAGTGACAGAGCAAGACTCCGTCTCAAAAAATTTTTACAAAGATCCTATCTTGAGTAGTATTGTCACATTCTGGCTCCTTGGGTTAGGACTTGAACATCTGGATTGTGGGAGGGTGGGGGAGGGCACCGTTCAGCCCATAACACGTCACAGAATTTGATGTGGATGGAGTGCCTCATAATACACACAAGGAACCAAGGGGGCTGGTGGACGTGCAAGTGTGTGTGCACGAAGCTGTGGTGTGTTAGGAGCAGGTGTATTCCTACACAGCTCCACTCTGCTCATCAGCTGGGTGCAGAGCTTTATGAATTCTATGCCCGTCTAGTTTCTCAGGGATGAAATTGTACATCAGCAAATGCCAAGTTTATG